AAAATTTTCTCTGAAACGATATATAAAAATAAATTTTTTTCCTGTTTGATGTTTCAAACAAATTTTGGAGCAACAAAAGTTGTGCAAAAAATATTTATTCTTTGTTTTTGCTTAAACAATTTCATAACTCCCCATCAATAGTACACAGTATTGGCATAAAAATCTAACGTCTAAAAATTGTTTTCAAATCACACAAATATTTAACCACGCAAACAAAATTTATCAAAAATCAGTGGTCTTTTTCTTCCGTCAGTCCAAAATATTTAAAAATCTTGTCGGCTGTACAAAAAATCAGTGCAGGAGCAGAGAAAGTGAAAAAAAAAAATAAAAATTGTTAAGCAAGGGGCTCCCTAAATCTTAAAAGTCATAAGAGCGCGAAAGAGAAAGAGGCCCCTTGCCTGGAAATTGGCCACAAACTGAGGCGACTACGGGGGCATTGAGTGCAAAAGTGCACTGTACAGCTCATCAAGTCAAAAAATAGATATAGCAACAAGCACTTGGTTGGCTCTACCACTTGCTTATTTCCATTGAGGTCAATGAGGTCGTCCTGATACATCAAGCATCTTCTCTTCATCGTCTCTGGCTCAGCGATCTTGGGATACCTTTCTATTTACCACCCACTTCATCTCCTCCTTATACCGTATTCTATTTCTCCGATAAATAACTCTGCCGTTGTGACAAAGGTATTTCTTTCGATCTCTTCAATTTTACTCCTTCGCAGCATGATAAAGGCGCTTTTCATACGAGATCGAGGTTTCGATGTGTACACGGAGCTATTGTGCACATGTCGTTGTAAAGAGAAAAAAAGGGTTGCAAGAGAGAAATGGAAAAATTGCTTGGCACGCGTAGAAAGTCATTGGCGGCTCACGTAAAAAATGGAGACGAGAAGATTTGACGAGGTGGTGCCTGGAATTGGCACGCGCTCCTTCGTTCTCTCTGGGTATTTTTTATTTATTCTCTTCTCTCTGCTGTGGTACTGAACAATACCGGCTTGTACTGAGAATAGAATTTTTTTTTGCAAAGGGTAAATAGTTTTTTTTGCACCTTCTTGTATGTCTATAAATAACACGAAAAATAAGCAAGTGTACGGTTAAGCTACTGAGCAAAAAAAAAAGTTACCTAAAGGTTGCAGAAATATACCGATTTTTTCTGTTTCTATTTTTTTCTATCGCAGACAGTAGGCTTTAAAAAAGTGCTAATACAAAATCAATTTATATTCCATCGATTCCTAACTTACGCGCTCTCACAATCATTTTAGCGTGTCTTTGTCTCACTCGCCTGTATCTACTAAAGTCACGATTTCCCTTCTACCCAGTTAATATTTCTTTTCTTGAAAAAAAAAAAAAAAAAACCACATACTACCACTGCCTTCTTTTACAAGCCATCTCTCCCATTGTACTTATTTTCTTTTTTGTGTCGTTACATTTTAAAATGGGTAGGATATGTCTTTCTTTTGACGATCTGACTGAGAAATGAAAGTCACAACCAGCAAGAATTTTTTTTTCTTCGATTTTTTGTATTACAATAAAGGCGAAAAAAAACATTAAAGAATGCGTGTTGCACTTTATTACACGTTATCAAAGACAAATTGATGATCAAAGTTCTTACACTTCAGAGTGCCATTGCTTTTTTCGTACCTACATTAATTTTTGTGTCTATTTAATGCAATAATATTTCATCCACCAGTAAATATGGGTTTATCTACATTCTGTTTATATGAAATGACTAAATGAAAAAACGAACAGAAGTTGAGCCGATTGTACGTGATAAAAGGTTCTGTTTTCCTTTCCGTCTGACCTGACATTGAGATGTTCTACTTAGCTCGGGTATTTTCGGATTGTTATCAGATTCCGCCGTTTCTAGGAATCCATGGCAGAATATTTGTCATGAATCGAAAAAAACTTATAACTCAATTACCTAAAAGGAGCAATCCAATTGCCCAGCAAGATAAACTTTAGGTGTAAGCAAATAAAATTCATTAGAAATTTTTTTTTTTTTTTCTCCTCAACAGGTACCGGTGAGCTGCGAGTATTGATGCGATCGTTGCGAGAGCACGTGGTACACACGGGCACACAACTCGTGCGGCAACTACGGCGTAGGGAGTACCTGCAGGCTAGGCGTGAGAGACTCTACGACGTGATAACTGCCCATCTCCAGGCGCACAGCGACAAACGCAGTGAGTACACGTATATAATTGTATTGTTTTCTTTCTCGTCAAAAAAATTGATTGGATCGTTTTTTACAAAATATATTGCGTTGGTGTTGTTAAGAATTTAAAGAACAGCCAAACCGATGTTACACCAACTATACTTTACTAATTTTATTAAACTCTATACTTTGAAACGAGAAAAATCAATGTAGTCAAAAAAATCAAACGTGGTAGTCATTGATCTAACACATTTACAAGTACACACGTGAACTCTGTGCGAGAAATGCTTCACTCTTATAAAAAAAATTATTTCATACGGTACAGCTGTTAAAATAGTTGGTGCACCCTTGATTATGTTGTCGGTAAAACTCTTATTTTTCTCGTTGGGGTTGTAGTTGTCTCACACGTGCGTCACTACACTGTGCCCCAAATCCAAACTCCACGAGTCGATTCATAACTGTAAATTACTCTTAAGCGAGCAATTTTACGTAGAAAAAAAAGGGGCCATCGCGTTGATGCTGCCAATTAACAGTTGAGCGAACTCGAGCGCGTTTTTACGTCACGCAGTTAAATGTAAACGAACACCATCAGAGAAAAAGACACCGAGGGACTGCGACAAGTGGACAACTGTTTGGCGATATTCTCCCGAAGATTTTAATGATTCACAGACGAATTAGTCGACACCGGCGTCCCCACGGCAGTAACCAACAGCTACCGGTGTTATTGGACGTCTCTCATTATTTTTCCTTCCTCCCTGATTCCCAAGGCAGTACTCGTGAATTCGACACACCATTTGACAGCTAGTCGAATTAACAAGTAATCGACATCCTCCCCCAAAACACCCCACAACCAGCCAAACCACGAAACTCAATTTTACAAACTTACTCATGTCAAACCCACGAGACCGACTCATCTCTCATACATCGATAAAATCGAGTTCTATTCGTACCTGATAAATTTCAATCCGTCCCGTCGATCGGATAAAAAATAGAGGGTGGTCAACACGAAGGTCCATAACTGAGTCGACTAAATGACATAAATGGTGTTTAGAAAAAAAAATTTGTCAGGGAATGATCGACCCAACGGTCGATTTGATCCAACAGGCAACAGCAGCAGTAGCATCAAAGTCGTTGAGTACCACCCGGAATTTACAATGAGGAGAGAAAATGGTTTCGGGGCTTTTATTGATGCGTACACATAACCGTCGAGAAGAAACTCTGTGTGGACGGTAAAGTGCCCATAAAGTTTTACTGCAGCTTGGCCTCTATTTTATGTGTACGCTTAGAGTGGAGTGTACACAGTCTCCTACGGACGGTCAAAGGAAATTGGAACCGCTTCCGGGTTTAAGATGTACCTTTTCTTTTCATAAACTCGGGCTACCGTGCGTTGATGTTTTTACGTTTTAACGAGCATCGACTTCATTTGCTTTTACAATTAACGAGAAAATTATTCATGGATTAATAAAACGCCCAACAACGTGTTTTACACTAGCAACAAATATTGCTTTAAAAGAATATATTTTTTCATTTTCACTCGAAGAATGTAAACACACATATGTGCTGTTTGCTATGGTCTCAAGAAATTTCCTTTCGCATACCCGTTTCATAGGATCCTGAAAATGACGTTGGGGCGTAAAAAAATGTGAGGATAAATAAATATTGTTGCTCTTATAAAACGAGCTGTTTGGTGCTTCATTACTAATAAAAGCATTAAAGAGCACTCGAAGAGTGGAGCCGCGAATAAAATTATTTATTCATCCACGCACGTACCTCATACGCACGCGTGTCGAGTGTTTTATCAGTGCTCAAAGTACATCAACGCGAGTGATAAGCAGTGAGTGAATCTCGTATTGCTCATAACTTATTTTAGTAACGATACGACAGGAGTTTTAGTTGTTTCTTTGTCGCCTATCTCCGTAAATTGCTATTCTTGCCTCGTCTGACTAATGGTTGACTTGTACTACTAATGATGCGAAGATTATGATATCCATACTCAATTTGTCGGGTAAACGATTGAGTCAACCGTAGCAAACATTGGAGATTAATGAGGGTTGAAACAGTGTTGTTAAAATACACCAACGAGGGACACCCTCGAGCTTCATTAAAACAGGACACCCTTTCTCGGGTGGAAGCAAAAGCGATGTTTTTTCGATGATTTTGGGTTCCTAGTTGTAACCGATAGCGTTTACATGGGAGATTAGACGCGATAAGGACCGCGAAGCAAGGAGTAAAACTCTCACTGCGAGACACGATATTTCAACCCAAAACACACGATGGGGCATTTTAGGTGATTGGAAGTAGTACAAAAGTGGCTTTTCTGCTCTCTGATCCGTCTTAATGTTCCGCTCGGCTGAACCTGCACCGATACGACATCAAGAACGGGTCTACCAACGCACGCATCTTCATCACAAGCTCAACCAACTACTCAATCAAGCACGTTAATCCCCATACACAACCCGATACCCGCAACCCCCAAACACTCGAAACAAGAAACATCCACGCAAGTGTCAAGGAGCGTATAGCGGTACCCACGAACACACGCGCCCACACCACCGTTGCATTTTAAGGCTACAGAGAAACAGGGGAGGGAAACGAACAATGGAGCGTCCGTGCACCACCACTAAGGTACACACGTAAACCTCCACTTAAGTTCGTCCCCAACAAAGAGAGATACACATGCGAGGGGGTGTAGGTACGCGTGCGCGAGACCACACTGTTCCGGGATACAGCTGATTCGTGAAGGGCGAAATGAGAGAGGTGGGACGGGGGGTGGGGTGAGGCTGTACATCGCTGCGCCTGCTCGGTCGAGGCAGTGCAGAGCCTCCCCCCTCCCAGCTTCAGTCGCCACTGTCTCGTCGAGCGTTCCCGACGTGCGTAAGAGAGACACCCGCAATGGTTTGTTGTTATTTCTAGTTTTTGCCGTTTTTTCCAGTTGTGTTGAGAAAAAAAAAAAAAAAGAAAAGAAAAAAGAAAAAAAACAACAAAAAGAAAGAAAAAGATGCGCGCGTGTAAACAGTGAAAAGTGCTCGGCAGGGAGTGAGCGGGTGCAGATAAAGCGTTGCTCCGTGCACGACGAAAATGTGAATGTGTCGTTGTGCGCAGCCATCCGGAGTCAGGGAAAGTGTGCTTGTATGAAAAGGGGGAGGAAGGGGAGAAGGAGCCGGACGATGACGACCTGTACGACGGCGAAGGCGACGCAACAGTGGCGGGCGCCTCGGCATCAGGCAAGGGCTGTCGCTGCTGATCGGCCGCGCGGTTTATGGATTTTCAGTTAACGCCGGGGCCGAAGGTACGTGCGACGGCACTGCACCGCCTCTCTCTCTCTCTCTCTCTTTCTAATTCTTCCCTCTCCCTTTTCCTTGTGCTATAGCTTTTGCTCGCTCGTGCTCACCCCTAGTTGTGTTTTTCTACGTATGCGTATACACGTGACGGTGTGTGCAGGTCTTACGTTTATTTGTAACTTTTTTTTTTTTTTTCGTGCTCGAGAATGGATCGCAGCAGGAAAAGTGTGGGTTTTTTTTTTTTTTTTTTTNATTTTTTCTTTTTTCCGTTTTATACAATACATATACTTTTTTAAGTGTAACCTTCCAATTTATATTTTTTTTACGTCGAATTACAGACTTAAATACAATTTTCCAACCAATTTAAAGCCAGTACTAAAAAACGTGCATATTTAATGAGCAATTTAGGGGATTATTGATTGCTTACAAAACTGAGAAAAAATTATCGAAGCCAAACAGATGAAAGGTACATTAATAAACTGATATTTTTGAGAAAGTATTTTTTTGCCATACTTTTTGATTTATGAGAACTACAAGTACAAGTTGTACTAAAATATACAACAAAGGAATTTTTCCATGACTTTACGCCCATTTTATTCGTGCATTTTTGTTCAAAATCTTTAAAAGCGTTAGCTCTTGTATCCCCATGACAACAGAAATAATACCACAAGCACACACAATTTGTGAACTTGTGCGTACAATTAAGCATAAATAAAACCCCTGTTGCTTCCTAAAAATGTTGAAAGAAACAAAAGCCATCGTGAAAAGCTCGTCAACGCCAGCCACGCAACTTTCCCACTGCACAACTTAATAAGCACACACTTTCCAGCTTACACGGTAGCTTTACCTTGAATTACCCTTTGAAAGAAATAAAAGTACTTCCAAACAATGAAAAAAAAATATATATGTATGTACAAACAGCATGATCACCAAGAGGAGCGAGATTCCCCGAGTCGAACCAAAAAGTGGAGCACCGAGTAGCAAAGGGAAAAACGCATCGCAGTTGAATCCACCGCCACTGTAGCAAAAATGAGGTTCGAGAACGGTTAGAGAGCATATTAATTTGTGGTGTAGCAGTAGTCAGTGAAGGAGGAAAAAAGGGTCACAGACGGAGCCAACTGGTTGGATCGCTATGACGTGACCGGGGGAGGATAAATATGACGCTTGAGGGACGCAAGAGCGGATAATGAGCGGCTTTTTCAACTCGCTGAGGAACCTCGCTGCTGGAGCTGCTGGCAGCGCATCCTCGAAACAGGAGGACGACGAAGGTGACGGCGACGATCATGATGATACTTTGGTGTTGATTTTCTAGTCCCACGATTTGCTTGTCTCTCCCCTTTTTTGGACATGCGCTTGGTTTTTGTGTTTATTGAGTGGCTGCGTATTATATTTTTAGCTTTTCTTGCAGAGTATTTCATTGGTGCTTTGTTGCGTAGACTTGAATAATTCGTGTTGTTGTTGATCTGTGCTTTCGTCCTATGCAGCATGTTGTTGTTGTTATTGATTGTTGTGTTGAACAATCCAAGCTCAAAAGTACAGATTTACGTCGTTTCACCCAGCCGTGGGATCCAATTGTTTTATGGATCATTACGAAATAAAATTCTTCTCCAGCAATGCCATTTATCAGTTTTGTTGGAATTTAAAATCATCATCTATAATACAATAATCAAAAATAATTTTTCTAGTTTTATGTTTCTTTCTTTTTCAAAATATCATGCACGATTTTTACTAGAAAAAAATGTTATTACTGAGTTGAAAGCAGTAGTAACAAATTTTTCATTACAAATAATTTAGAAAAAATATCGTTTCAAAAGTACAAGCTTCCATGTTTGCTCTTTATACGCAAGGCAAACCGTTGATTTTTTACTTTTACAAACTTTGTACTGTAAAAACCGAAAAATTATTCTCTTTAACTTTTGTACTTTTGACCTTCGAATGTACCTATTATTGCGTGAAATTGTAATAAGCTTATTAAATGTATTATACGTTGTGTAACAAAATATCATGTAGTCTTATCAAAACAATGTTAAGGCAGTATCGCTTTATTCGTGTACGTGATGGTATGAAATATAATTTTTTCACAAATCCCTACAGCTTTAAATATTTTGGGGGGAAAAAAAAACATTGTCAACACAAGAGGTATCCCATCAATTCAAATAACTAGTGCGTTTACCTAATTTTCAAAAGAAAAAAGCCCACGACATCAAAAATGTTGACACACACACTCACATACGTATGCATGGAAAAAATAACAACTCAACGTAGCAAAAGAAACAGTGAGCTCTCGAAACCATACGCGTAAGACCATAAAGTGCAGACGAGAGCAGAAAGTACAAAAGAGAAAGGGAAACGAGTCTTGGTGCAGCACTGCAGTCGCGGAGTCTAGTTCCACCAGAAAAATGAAAATCCATTAGCCGGTTCACCTAGTCAACGTGTTCTTGGTCTCGCGTACATACGCATGCGTGCGTGTGCGAGCGTAGGTGATACCACTGCGCTTTGAGAAAAAAGGCTCGACTGAAAAACAGAGACGCTATTTGGTTTATTTTTTATTTTCTCGTAAAGTAGGTACGTGCCTTTTTTTCCTCCAATGGAATGTAGAACGCGCTCGGGAGGAAAGCGGGTCTCTCGTGCGGGGGGTAAAGGGGGTCAGTTCTCAATTGGATTCGCGCGTTATAGTGGTTGACACTGACATTCGCGCCTTTTAACCTGATTTTTTTTTTCGACATTTTTTTTCTTCGTAAAATTTCCCGTTTGTTTGATGGTCTCGGATGGAAATGAGTTAAGATTTTCAAGTGATTTCGGAAGGGCCGAAGGAAGATTCTCGTCCTTGCTTCATACGTTTGTGCATCAACTATAGTCAAAGCGTTTGCAACTATATGGTACTTTGTACTTCAGTATATGTTTACGTATATTTCACGATTCATTTCCACAAGAAAAATACAATTTACCTTTAAAAGTTAGATTAAAATATATATTTTCCCTCGGCAAGCCATCCTTACGTAACACAAATGACTAGTGCACATCAGCTTAACTAGAACTTTTATTGTAGTTTATAAAACTATCCTTCTAATTATTAGAAAAAGCATCAAATCTCAAATCTTCTCATTGTCATCACTCAAAAAAAAACATGTCTCCAAGTCTTCGAAAAAAAAAAGAAGTTTTTACGCAGAGCCCACTGCAAACGAGTACATCTCCACATAAAAGTCTCGTGCAAGAAGAGTACACACAACACCAATCCCGTCGTCATCGGGCCAATGAAAGAAAGTCACGTATGTATCATTTACCGCAGCGAGATCCAACTATAGACACAGCGAAGACTCTAAGTAATTAAAAACTCGCAAGCTCGAGCTTTTTCCCCGCTCACAAAGCCAGAGATATGATGGCAAGCGTTTTTCATTCAACGAGATAAATACTCGAGATTTTTACATCCTCCCCGTGTCTTCCCTCTTTCATACCTTTGGGTGCCGTTTCATGCACCTTTATCGCTACTAATATTCATTAGAGCTTTTGCGTAATCAAGAAATTTAATTTGTTTTTATTAAATCTTGTTTTTTTACTAAAGGCAGATGTTTGTGTAGCTCATACTAAATAAGCTAGAACCAAGCGGTTGAAACCAAATACAGGTTTTAAAGAAGATTTTATACAAACAATTTTGCGGAAAGGATAAACATTTCCAAGTATACCTTCCAAATGACATTTATGGTTCTTCACTTTATGGCTATCCTTAATGCAATTCCAACAGACTTTATCGAGTGACAAATGAGTAAAAAACCATCAGCTATTTTGTTTTCCTCACTCGAATGATGGAGGTGTTCACCATTATGGCATTTACACGTACTTATGAAAACGCAAAGGAGGTATTAAAAATGTATCCCCATCATGTGGATGTATGTCACGAACGCGCGTTAGAGCTTCGAGCGACAGGTAGCTTTTCACGTCGAACGGGAGAAAAATGGCACGCGATAAAATTCACTCCCACAGCCGATGATTGTTGCTTGGCTGTCCAAGTGGGTTACACACGTCGACCTTTTTTTTCTGTCTCACCCCCCCCCCCTCATCACAGAAATCGATTTCTCGAAATATTTTTTTTTTTCTTCATTTCACGTCACTCTTTATACTCCGATTAGAGCCTTGCCGTGGAAGTCACTATGAAACTAATTGTCTCACCACACAACCGCAGCAAAGGGCGTGGTAATTTTTTGATGAAAGGGAAATTAAAAAATAGTCGAGGGTGTCCTTTGTTGTGGTTTGAAAGTTCATACGAGAGAAGTTTGCGCGCGTACGTATATTTTATCGCCTTTACGGTGTACTGGACTGCATTGACGTAGTCACTGGTACACGCAAATTGATGATCGATACCGATATGGTTAACTCACCCCCTTCCATTGCGGTGCGTTAAAATTCCACATTTCTTGATGTGCTGAGTGCGAGGGTTTATTTATAAAAGCCAAAGGAGCTTTTTCCCTCGAATACCCTATAGCTCACGCGTACACTTTACCTCTACATTCATGTACATAAAAGCGCACATCCAGGGCTCAATGGCAAATAGAATTATCTAGTTTCCATCTCTCTTTTTTTTTTTTTTTTGTATATGTCCTCTTATACACTTTTACCAATGAACCTGAGTGGTTGATTGATTTATTCGTCACCCCCAATTTTTTGTATGATCAGTAAACAGTTTTTATCTTCCAACCCATACGTGCTACTCGCGTGATCATTCAATTCACGTGCCAACGGAAAAACCGCATGTCGCGGTGACACTGGAATTCTCCCCCATTTGTATATACATAAAGGTACTGTCGTTAAAATCCGTGTGTACCTACATAACGTGTGTTGCGCGAGTGACTCGAGGTCCAGTACTGGCGTGTACACGTGCTCGTACGGGTGTGGAATTTCCCTCGAGACGCACTTACAGGTATGACATCCACATCGAGAAAGTTTCCTCTGTGGGTTGCGGATATCATGCGTGAATAATTGGTACGCGTCCCTTGCATTGTAATTTGAACTCGACGCCGACACTCCAAAGTTTATCTCAACCATTATGTTTACGTGTTTTTCTGGGTGATCTATGTTTACGCGCAAGGGAGGGATATGACGCACGCGAAGACATTCTAATGGCGATTGTTTGTCTTATCAGGTGAAGACACGAGGATGAGGTTCAGCCTGACTCCGCAGCCGGGAGAGAGCGGATTTATTCAGTGGCTGGACGCTATGAAAATGGTCGCCAAACTGCAGGGTGGAATCCCAGAGGAGTTTCGCAGAAAGGTACGTGTGTCGTAAAATGTACTTTTTTTTTTTATTCACGAGCTTTTTGTCGGTGGTGCTGAAGAAAAAGTTTTCCAAGTGCCACGCCAAAACCGCGGCTTTTTTTCCTTTTGAATGTGCCTTGTTGCAACTTTGGGATGATCGAGGCGATTCTATGTAAACTTGCGCCTCGAAGTGTAAATGGGTCGTTTTTGTATTTTCAGGGGTACCCTGATGTATTTATAGCAGTTTGGTTTTGCTAAAAGTGCACTCCTGAGTGTTAAAAAGAAAAAAAAAAAATTTACAACGAATAGTAAACCATGACATAAAGGAAAACGAAATTGTTCTTTGTTTACATGTTTTATAATTTACTTTTTTTTTTTTCATGATGTAATGGCTCTTTTCAACGACTCATCAGCTGTGGCTGACACTCTCGGAGCGTCATCTGGATCAGCGGGGTGTCAACTGGCAGCAAGCTGAGAAGCTCTGCTTCAACGAGTGGAGCAATCCCGACGACGAGGAGCTCGGCATTCAGATAGTTAAGGTATTGTTTTTTTTTTTTCATTCTGTAGGTACGTATAGTGGAGTATATTGTGGACGTGAACGAGTGTTTTTTTTTTGTTTCGTCGAGGATGAGTGAGTTTTTGTTTTATTAGATGAAAGAGGACGACAAAGCTCAAGGGCTTTTGTTCGAATGAGCTTTTGTTGTAAACACACGTGCATCCGTGTGGGATACGCGAGGGATTCTAGTTTCATTTTTTTTATGCCCACGTGAGGCTTGCTCGGCCGATTGGACACGTACGATGGATGAAATATTTAGTGGAGTGAATTACTCCTTGACACGATGTTTCGTCATTTCGATTTTGAAAGAATTGAGATGCCTTCACAATTTTTCAGATCGAATTGACACCCGTTAAGCATCAAAGAATATCGATCAGATATTAGCAATAGGACAAAACAATAACTCAAAATTGTGTATCAAAATAAGTAGAATTTCTCTTCTTCCGCAAGAACGAGGTCTAAGTTTGATGTTCTTTTTTGTGAAATTTCGTAACTCATCTGGCTCATCGTACGATGGATAATTTATACAAATCCTTGATCCTCGAAAATCCTTGCAAATAAAAATTCTCAAGCGTGGAATACATTTTTCACAACTTAAATGTACAAAGGACCTTCACCGCACGGGGTGTAGCCTCTTCTGCGGCGCAGCCGGCCGTGACAACCAAGCGGTCCTGCGTCGCGTGCTTCTGGGCTACGCTCGCTGGAACAAGTCAGTCGGCTACTGCCAAGGCCTGAACGTCCTCGCGGCTCTGATCCTCCAAGTCGTCGACAGGGACGAGTCAGCTGCAGTCAAGGTCATGATCTACCTAATCGAGGGTGTCCTGCCCGAGGGATACTTCGCGGACAGCTTAAGAGGCCTGTCGATCGACATGGCGGTGTTTAGGGATCTCCTGCGCATGCGGCTTCCTAGGCTGTCAAAGCACCTCGAGTCCCTACAGAATGACTTGAAGGACAAGACCACGGGTGAGTTTCCGCTCAAGTTTTTGTTTGTGTTCAAGCTCTGGTAAAAAAAGTGTGTATAGTACGGTCCAACATGTGCGTTTTGCAGGAAACAGTTACGAGCCGCCTTTAACGAACGTCTTTACGATGCAGTGGTTCCTCACTCTCTTCTGCCATTGCCTGCCGCAGGACGCTGTACTGCGAGTCTGGGATTTGATATTTCTCGAGGGCGATGATGTCCTTTTGCGCACTGCTCTGGCCATTTGGGAGGGTATTTCTGAGTAAGTTTATCGAGAAAACTCTTTTAGTATTTTGAATAAAAATTTCGACTTTTCCAAATATTCTTAGAGGTTGCAATGTCTTGAATAAAAGACATGTTGAAATACACTAGTAATACATTTAGAGGCTAAAATTTATAAATGAATAAAGTAAAAGAACAAAAAAATTTCCCATTGTTTATTTTTCACAGTCGGGTCATGACCGTCACTTCGGCTGACGAGTTTTATAGTATAATGGGCGTGCTCACCCGGGAGATGCTCGAGTTCACCGACACGAATCATCTCGTCAAGGTAAGAAATAAAAGTTTAGTTAATATAGTTACAAATTTCAGGAGGCCACGAGTTCATGGCAGATCCTTCAATGAATCTTCTTAACAACATTTTATTTAACAGCTTGTTTAAGCATGTGAATTTTGAAAAAAAAATCAATTATTCATTGTTTA